AAGCAAATGTATCCAGGTCCTAAAATATGTATCAAACATGTTGGTTATTTAGCAAGGTGTAAAACCATGTGAAGCATTTAGCTAAAGATTAGCAGGAATGACTAAAATAAATATTCTAATCTAAAAATACAGAATCTTGATAGAATGAATTATATTCTTTTAGGTCTAGATTGGTTGAATAATTTTAAGGCATGCTACCATCTTTCCTGCCGTGTGCCTGAAGCAACATCTTTAGAAGGGCTGCAGCCTTCAATAAAACTACAGTGATAGATGAGAGGATCACCACGATTTAAATCATGAATAATTATCACTGACTATAATTATATATATAATTATCATTTAAATCAGTAACGTTTTTTTTAACTAAGGCTCAGGTTTAAACTTTAAAGTGGTCAATTTACCCCCAGATGGCTCACGCCACGTTTACACGGAGACGAAAAAAAAAAACTAATTGATGTCGATATCAAAAACGTCTTCCGTCCACACGGAATCGGCTCAAGAAACGTGTCCGTCCACACAAGACCACTCGGCCCGCTGGAGGCGCTGTAGTACATATGCCGGGCCTGTAAATGGTGCTGTACTTCTGCCACAAAATACACCGAAAGCAGCGAAGATGTAGTTCATGTAGTTCTCCATGTCCACTTGTTGCTGATGGTTGTGGTAGAGGAGCTGTAGATTTTGCACTAACATCTGTAGCATGGTCAGTAGCGTCTGGAGCACGAAAGCAACACTGTGATCTGCCGTTGTTGTTGTTGGCAAAACAAATCAGCAATGACGCGGGTGACGCGGGGGTGAGCAGCAGAGGTGGGGAGAGGCGGGGCTGTGGCGTAATCGTTATCAGGAAATGATCGTACACACGGAGCCGTTTGGCCCCCCCGAGCGTTTCGTCCGCAGATCTCCCCACCTTGGGAGCCGTTATCGTTTGAGGGCTCCGTTTCCGTGGTTCCGTTACGGCCTCGTGTGGACGAACCGTCCATACGAGAGAGAACTGTAGCGGATACAACCCGTTTCGTCTCCGTGTAAACGTGGCATCAATGTACCCCTTGATGCGGAACAACTTACCCCTTAGATGGGGCAAGTTAAGCCAATCGTTTTTGAGGGGTCATATTTTCATGGCCCTTGATAGATGTATTGTTTTGATTTTGATTGACAGAAGACATCCTGAAGTAAAGGTTGTTGTTGTCATTTGACTTCTATCAAATGTTTCCTTGCCTGGAGGAACACATAACTACACATTGGCTCATTTTACCCCACTCTCCCCTATGTTATAATCTTTGGCACAATGTCAGAGTATAATACAATTCTATGCATTACAGCACAGCTTAATATATTCCTCGGGTTGCACTATACAACAATTCAAAGTGCACCGTGACTTATCAGAGGCATATCTGCTGTAGTGAGTAACACATGATGTACCTCCACCTTTGTGTAATTCACTGGGAGGCCTCAGTCACACTGAAACTTACGTCAGTCCATCGCTGCTCCTTAAAATAACCTTTTCCCTTCAATCACAACAATGCAACGTGACATCAGTCAGCGTCACACCCTGCTGTCACACACAACCTTTCACACACAGAGGCTGAAACAAGACTCTGCTGGGCCCTTTCCACCATTATATGTAGGAGCAGTTTTATCATCCTGTCATAAAGTAGTGTTTATTCAAGCGTCCTTTATACTGTCCATCAGACTTCATCAGTGCTGCCTGTGTGTTGGATGAAGGCGTGCATGTGACCTCATAACGATTAGATCAGTGGTTCTCAACTGGTGGGTCGCGACCCCGTATCGAGTGGGTGGCAGATGTGTGAGTGAAGAAAAATAATAATAATAATTCTTTCAATTTTTATTTTTTTTGGAAAAAGTCAAACTTTTATTTTGAAGGCCCGATGTTCTAACGCTGTGCATGCAGTAGGCGTTGGAGTGGAAGTACCGGAGACGAAAACTGCTGTCACGTAGTGATCATCTTCTCAATAAAACATTGTTGCCGATGTTTTTTCGAGTCTTCTGGCCAATCAGAATCAAGATTGTGGCCGGAAGTCCCCGTGGAGAATAACTTTGCGGTAGAACTATTCTTTACATCCATGGGTACAACTTCAGATAAAAATGAACACATAATGAAATATGACCCCCGGTTTGATGATTGACAGGTCACAGAACAATGGGGGTTATCTACTCTTACCCATAATTTAAAGTAATTCACACAGACTATCTCCTCTGTGAGGAGCAGCAAGTTCAGCTGTCAGAACAAAGTGACAAACAAACAATGGCATAACATATTATTAATATGTCGGGTACTAATAGATTTATTTATTTTCTTCTCAGAGTGTACCATTATGCGTAGTTTATATGTTAGTATTTCAAAAATAGGGAGAATCCCACCAGACCCCCTGCTGGGGTTGGGTTTTCAGTATGTCACGTTTTTCACGTGTGAATTTGCCGGATTGGCTCCAAATCTGCCTTTTTATTTTAAAAGCATACTTTAGTTATGTGAAGGGATATAGCCTAAGGGATATATGCCCTGTACTTCACTTTAATTAATATTGTATGCTGAAAAGCGTATATTACAGCACGATTTTTTGTTGAATAGATTTGAGTGGTTAAAAAATGTTGGGTCCCGAGGCCTGGTTTAGATCATGAACTGGTTTAGATCATGAACCTGCCATGTTTAATGTGTCAGTAATTATGTTAGGAAACGATAGTTACGTCTGTAACTACGGTTCTATGAGTCCCGGATGAAAGGAACAGATCCTCTGACGACACCGGCCGATATAGCCGGTGTCACGTGGGTCACAGGTGACTTCGTTGTTATTGTTACTCGAGCTGCGCATGCGCGCGATGGACATATCTAGTGCTAAAGCACCACCTCTGGCGGTCAGTAGGGACGAAATAGAGAACCGCAGTGACGCGTCGTAAAACCCGGAAGTAAGTTAGAATTTTTGGCACTTCCGGTTCCTTCCTCAAAAAGCAATGCATTTTTTCCATAGGGTTTTGGAAAATAGCTTGAAATAAGGTCTGTGGTTGACACAAATTTAAGAGGTAATTGACGTTTTGTTCTACGACATTAAATACATCAGCAGTGACCCCACTGGGGATTTTTGAAGAGTTTACGTGTCTGAAAAACGATGGTTGTTACCGAATGGCTGAATAGGACTACAGAAATTGTCGAGGCCGTTGTACGTCATTACGCCGAACACGTAAACACTCCCGCTAAGTTTGTTTTCCCCTGTGTTCTGCTTAAAAGCAAGTACCTGCAGTGTTTCCCACACAATGTTAATACTTGGGCGGGCCGCCCAGGTATATTAAGGCCCGCCCAAGTATATTTCGGACCTTTTTTTATTTGTTTTTATCCGTCCGCGAGCGACGCCATCTGCGAGTGATTAACTAATGGACAATGAGCTCTCGCTCTACGTCTCCTGTGCCTGTTCGCACTGCGGTTGATTAACTAGGGGACAATAATCCCCCCCTGTTCGCTCTGCGATCGATTAACTAGTGTATGATCCCTCGCTCGACACCTCCTGTTCGTGCTGCCATCGCGTGGAGGGAAACGAGAAACGGAGAAGACGACGTTAATTTAGAAGACGCGGACACTAAGGTAAAGTAACTATTTTCTCCTTATTGTGTTGTTGTTTTCTGACTTTGGTAGGAGATTCGAATTATTTGAAGTTAGTGGCAACTAAGAGTGTATTTAACGTAATCAGGCCAACTTTGCTGCGTGCAAGTTACGTGTGCTAAATTAAATATAAAAAAGATTATAATTCGTTTTCTCTTCGGGCTATGCCAGTTAGAAGGACACAGATTAACTTTAGCTAAGGTTAGACTGTTAATTTCCCCTGCATTACTCCTCAGATATGAGTATTCAAAAATATTTTAAGAGAATACGGCGTGAGGATGAGGAGGAAAGACGAGGAGAGGAGGAGAGACCACAGGTCCGCTGCAACTTACTACTTTTAAATCCAGGCTGAAGACTTTTCTTTTTGTCGCTACTTTTAATTGAACTATTCATATCTTAGACTGCACTGTAACTTTTATCCATGTATTTTTCTTTTAA